CTTGGTTAAGAGAAGTAGCACTGCTAAACTTGAGGTTGATGCTTTCTCTAATGTTCCTCTGCTTTTTGTTTTTGTTCAATTTTGGTTTCAACCTCTTCTTATCTTGTTTCCTTTGCCTGCTTTCAGTAGGAGAAAATAAAACATTCCAGAAGCCAATTGATATTTCTCCAGTTATGTTTTGTTATTTTGGTTATGGTTTTCATCACTATTTCTACTTTATCTAGAGTTTTCTTCTTTGCAGCTTGGTGGGATAGATAACGATTATGCATTTGGGGCTAAACAAGCCGAAAATGGAAACGGCTCTGAGTATGATGGTCAAGCATCTTCTGGAAGTTTTGGATCCAATTCTGCAGGTCTGGTAGGAACTGTGAGGGAAGAAAGTATGGTAGTAGCTGGTGACGGAAAGGAGACGATTCCATATGATTTGCACCTCATGACAGAACCATTTGGCGTCCCTTGCATGGTGGAGATATTTCATTTTTTGTGTTCTTTACTAAATGCCGTTGAGCATGTGGGAATGGACCCCCGCTCAAATACCCTGGCATTTGATGAGGATGTGCCGCTTTTTTCCTTGGGATTCATTAACTCTGCTATAGAGTAGGGTGGGCCTTCCTTCCGTCGTCACCCAAGGTTATTGAGCTTGATTAGGATGAATTACTTCGCAATCTGATGCAATTTGGGTTGTCAACGAGTCCACTTATTCTTTCAATGGTATGTAGTATTGTTCTAAATCTTTATCAACATCTCCGTTCAGAACTCAAACTACAGCTTGAAGCTTTTTTTTCCTGTTTAATTCTGAGGCTTGCACAAGGCAAATATGGAGCTTCGTACCAGCAGCAGGAGGTGGCTATGGAAGCCCTAGTCGATTTCTGTAGGCAGAAAACATTTATGGCGGAGATGTATGCTAATTTAGATTGTGATATAACTTGCCGCAATGTGTTCAAAGTCCTTGCTAATTTGTTGTCAAAGAGTGCATTCCCTGTGAACTGCCATCTGTCTGCAATGCACATTCTTGCCTTGGATGGTTTAATTGCTGTTATCCAGGGAATGGCTGAGAGGATTGGGAATGGTTCGATTAGTTCAGAGCAGGCCCATGTTATTCTCGAGGAATATTTGCCATTCTGGATGGTAAAATGTGATAACTATGCTGATCCAGTTCATTGGGTTCCATTTGTCAGGCGGAGAAAATACATCAAAAGAAGGCTGATGATTGGAGCTGATCATTTTAATCGTGACCCAAAAAAAGGTTTAGAGTTCCTCCAAGGAACACATCTTTTGCCTGACAAACTTGACCCCCAAAGTGTGGCTTGTTTTTTCAGGTACACTGCTGGATTAGATAAGAATCTTGTTGGGGATTTCCTGGGAAATCATGATGAGTTCTGTGTTCAGGTTCTTCATGAATTTGCTGGGACATTTGATTTCCAAGAAATGAATCTGGATCCTGCACTAAGACTGTTCCTGGAAACTTTTCGATTGCCAGGAGAATCACAAAAGATACAAAGGGTGCTGAAGGCATTTTCTGAGAGGTACTATGAGCAATCTCCACAGATTCTAGCTAATAAGGATGCTGCTTTGTTATTATCATATTCACTTATAATGCTTAACACTTACCAGCACAATGTCCAAGTAAAGAAAAAGATGACAGAGGAGGATTTCATCCGGAATAATCGGCATATAAATGGAGGTAACGATCTACCTCGAGAATTTCTGTCGGAATTATACCACTCAATATGCAAGAATGAAATCCGCACAACTCCAGAGCAAGGCTTTGGTTATCCTGAAATGACCCCGAGTAGGTGGATAGATCTGATGCACAAGTCTAAGAAAACTGCACCGTTCATTGTAGTTGATTCTAGAGCATACCTTGACCATGATATGTTCCCAATAATGTCAGGTCCAACAATTGCTGCTATCTCTGTTGTATTTGATCATGCTGAACATGAAGATGTTTACCAGACCTGTATTGATGGATTCTTATCTGTTGCTAAGATTTCAGCATGTCATCATCTTGAAGATGTACTGGATGACCTAGTTGTGTCTCTCTGCAAATTTACCACCCTTTTGAATCCATCATCTGTTGAGGAACCAGTGTTAGCTTTTGGTGATGATATCAAAGCAAGGATGGCAACTGTAACTGTTTGTACTATTGCAAATGGATATGGTGATTATATTCGCACAGGTTGGAGAAATATACTGGATTGCATCTTACGACTGCACAAGCTGGGGCTTCTTCCAGCTCGAGTAGCCAGTGATGCGGCTGATGAGTCAGAGCCCTCTGCAGACCCCGGTCATGGAAAGCCAATTACATATTCTTTGTCTTCAGCTCACTTACAGTCCATAGGAACCCCCAGGAGATCATCTGGATTGATGGGCCGGTTCAGTCAGCTTTTATCTCTTGATACAGAGGAGCCAAGATCACAGCCCACTGAGCAACAACTTGCTGCTCATCAACGCACCCTTCAGACAATTCAAAAGTGCCACATTGACAGCATATTTACAGAGAGCAAGTTTTTGCAAGCTGAATCTTTGTTGCAGTTAGAACGAACCCTAATTTGGGCTGCAGGGCGGCCCCAGAAAGGAAGCAGCTCACCTGAGGATGAAGATACTGCCATTTTCTGCCTGGAGTTGCTTATTGCTATTACCCTGAACAACCGTGATAGGATTGTGCTTCTATGGCAGGGTGTCTATGAGCACATAGCTAATATTGTTCAATCAACTGTTATGCCTTGTGGCCTGGTTGAGAAGGCTGTTTTTGGGCTTCTTAGAATTTGTCAAAGGCTGCTTCCTTACACAGAGAACCTGGCTGATGAACTCTTGAGGTCCCTGCAACCTGTCTTGAAGCTTGATGCTCGAGTGGCTGATGCGTACTGTGAGCAGATCACACAGGAAGTTAGTCGCCTAGTGAAGGCAAATGCTACCCATATCAGATCTCAAATGGGGTGGCGAACGATAACATCTTCACTTTCCATCACAGCCCGACATCCAGAAGCATCTGAAGCAGGTTTTGATGGAATATTATATATTATGTCTGATGGGGCTCACTTGTTCCCAGCCAATTATGTTCTCTGTGTAGATGCTGCGAGGCAGTTTGCCGTCACGTGTTGGACAAGCAGAGCGATCTATACGTGCACTGGATCTTATGTCCAGTTCTGTTGATTGTTTGGCAAGGTGGACCCATGAGGCAAAGGAAGCAATGAGAGAGGACGATGCTGGCAAGATGTTTCAGGATGTCGGTGATTTATGGTTGAGGCTTGCTCAGGGGCTCAGAAAAGTTTGTTTGGACCAGAGAGATGTCAGAAACCATGGTCTTCTATCATTGGATAAATGCTTGACTGGAGTGGATGACATCCACATTTCTCATGGTTTATGGCTGCAGTGTTTCGATCTTGTAATCTTCTCAATGCTCTATGACTTGCTTCAAATTGCTCAGGGACACCAAAAAGACTACCGCAATATGGAAAGCACGCTTATTCTTGCCACAAAGCTCCTTTCCAAAGTGTTCTTACAGTTACTCCATGAGCTCGCACAGTTAACTACATTCTGCAAACTGTGGCTTGGTGTGCTTAGCAGAATGGAGAAGTATATGAAAGTAAAAGTACGAGGTAAGAAAAGTGAGAAGCTTCAGGAGCTAGTGCTCGAGCTTCTCAAGAACATATTCGTAATGAAGACAAGGGGAGTACTCATGCAGAGGAGTGCACTAGGTGGAGATAGATTGTGGGAACTGACATGGCTGCATGTGAATAACATTGCACCGTCTTTGCAGTCTGAGGTTTTCCCTGATCAGGACCCAGAGCTCAAGCATGGTGAAACTGGTAGTGTAGTGTCCGGTGAAACAGTTTCTGTTCCTTCAAATGAAGGAGCTGGTGCAGGAAGTTAACATTGTGTACAGTTGGATGGTTGAGAAGGGTTTGTCATAGCAAGCCGTAGAGTCACGCATGATATGTTGCTATTTTTCGAGAAGATCCACATTGATGCATTAGGACGTGTTAGTTTATGATGCTGGTAAGATTCCTCAAATCCAAGTCTTGTTTGGACGTATTGGATGCAAAAAAGGGATAGAGAAAGATTAGAGTGAGCCTTGGAAATGTGGATAAGTTGTTGATTTATAATTCCTGTAGTTTTATATTTGGTTAGTGTTCCATCTCATTGCTGCCTCCATGGAACTTTGCCAAAATGTTGTTTTAAAAATTGGTATTCCTTGGAAACTTTAATTCGTTCACAGTCTGCATATGACAAGGATTCATCCGGAAAATATTGGGACCTCGGTCCCTGGGATATCAACGGTAACGATCAAAAATTAAAAAAAAAATGTAAAAATATCAACGGTAACGACTAACGATAAGTACCGAAACTGAAGCTGCCACCTAACAACCAAAAATGGAAAAGGAGATGAGCGGTGTTTTAGAGAAGAGCTATGAATATCAGTCGATCAAAATTATCTTATTACAGCCCCCATCAAGTTATTAATATTTTCTTTGTTGATCCTAACATATTCTCAAAATTTTTGAAGACGAGTGAGATCTACCAAGGCTACCAACGACAGGCCAGTAGTGTCTTTCCCGAAAATGCAATTCTGTTTCTTCGATAGCGCAATCATTTCAGAGAAAAAAAGGTAGCCTTTAAAGGAAAAGATCAATTTGATTCTGTTGTTGACAAGGTTTTGGAGAGCAGAAGTTTTCTGAGGCTGATGTCCTGCTACTATGTTTGGTTTTGGTAGATTCGGAAAATGGAGTTGGAGGCGGGGATGACTTGCTGCTAACCTGAGGGAATATAAATTAATATAGAGATAATCCCATGTCCAAATTTGGTTTATCCCCAATGATGGATCATCATATACGATGTAAATTTGCTCCATGACACGTGACATGGATCCAAACCCTTAGATTGTGTTCGGTCTGTCCCAGCACCTTGGGTTGGTCCACCTCCGCAGAGAAAAAAAATCTGGCAGATTCATTCGTCATAAAGGAAGAAAGAGGTTCACAAAACAAAAGCAAACTTCTCATTCTCCTCTTGTTGTTCCGGCAACGAAAGTTGCCATCTTTACGCCTTTGAATCCCTGAAGATCCTCTTGCAAAGAAGCCCGAGCTTTACCGAAACAAACCTAGGGCTTAAAGAGGAAAAAAAGAAAACAAAACACAACCATGGATTCCCTGTCATCGGTTTCTCCATCTATAGTTTTACCTCCGACCAACCCCTTGCCGACGCAACGGCAGCATCGTCCTCAAGTTTCTGTTTTCCCCTTAGCCCCGAATACCCGTCTTCCTCGCTTGTCGTCTTTCTTTAGCATGAATTCTTGTAAAGGAAGACTGAGTCGAGTTGTTGATTGTAAATGCAAATTTAACGGTGGGGATATGAGAGGAGGAGGAGAAGAAGATGATGATGATGGTGGTGAGAAAGAGGAGGTTGAAAGGGCGCTTCATCTGGACGGTACGATTCCATCTACTTCCAGCGAGTTTCTGAAACGGGTTTCGTCTCGGGCGTATGATATGAGGAGGCATTTGCAGCAAACTTTTGATAGTAGCAGTTATGATGGTAAAAGCTCTTAAGATTTTGGCTGTTGTTAACCTATTCTTCCCTCTCTGTTTAGCTTACTTGTCTACCTGCTTCTGATTTGAGTTGTATCTTGAAATACATATGTTCTGAGTTTATCCTTCAAATAGCAATATGCTATCTGCTATATTTCATAGTTTGTACTTCTTCCATAGGACTAACCAATCATGCCGGCAGCATTTATATTCTACATAGTTGGACTTGGGTGTATAGGCAAGTTTCTCCTAGTTTTGCAGCATGAGTTCATCACAAAAAATGAAAAACTAAAGCAACATAACATCGACTCTTCATCTTGAGATATGCAGAGTATGGGTTTCTGTATGTACTTGGTGTGCAATATGCTTTTGTGTGGATAATGGCTATTAATTTATTTGACAGCCTTTGTTGTTTTCTTAATGGCTTAATGATACATCAAATCTTTGTTCAGTGTTGGAGGCAAATCCATGGAGAGACCCTTTGAAACCTGTATACGTGCTAACTCACAAGGAAAACCAGTTGTGCACAATGAAGACTCGAAGAAACCGCAGGTCTAATTTATTTTCGAAACCCCAATATAATCTTTTCTTGAATTATTCTCATGGCTGCCTTGTCGTAATAATTCTTTTCTTCTAGCAGTGAAGTTGAAACGGAACTTGGGTTATTGTTCTCTAAAGGAGCAAAGCGCAGTTCTGGACGTGGGAACAGAACTGAACAGCCTAGATCTGGCACTAAGTTTGAGATGCTGGTGGAGGATGCTAGGGAAGGAGTACTTGTAAGTATCAATGATTCAGTGTTTAGGATATTTTTCAATGTGTAGTGTCGATTATCAATGAAGGGCTTGCAAGACTCTGCTTTACAATTCTTTTCTGCTTTCTGTTTCTCCATGCCTAAAACTTAGTACTGTTGCATTATGCCCTATGGCATGACTTCATTTTCCAGGACCGGTAACTTCTCGTAGTTCTCGATAGAAGCCTCGACTTCAATCCTTGACTTTCTTTCTTTCTTTCTGTTTGTTTATCATAGTTTTTTTTTTCAGTCTTCGACCTTAAACTGTCGTCTTACAGGTATTCGAAGATGAGAATGAAGCTGCAAAATATTGTGACTTGATGCAGGGAGGATGTGAAGGTGTCGCCGAGATCGAAGCCTCATCGGTTAGTTAGTTAGTTAGATGGCCAACTGTTTACATGTGGTGTATGAGTTTTCTTAAAGATAGTGTGTATCAAATTGTGTAGGTATTTGATCTTTGCCGGACAGTGAGGGTTCTTGTGGTTCTGTTCCGCAGGGGGAGAACACCTCCGCTACCTCAAAGCCTGGAGCTCAACCTCAAAGCTCGTAAACGTTCCCTGGAAGACCAAGAGAGCTTCAAATAAATTAAATGTCATACCCAAACAAAGTTATTGTATTTTATTTAAATAAATATTTAATATATTCTTATTTGTATGTGAGCTGTATAAAAAAACTGACATTTAAATCTGAATAACTAGAATAAATTGGAAACGAACGTTGACAACTCATAATATATCGAAAACACCTAAGAAGGCTGTCTAACGTTGTGGTTGTTACAGAAGCAACACACTAAAGCTGCTATATCGGTAGAGCATCTTTAGATGTATCACTTCAGTGAAAAGTTTTCGATCTGAATGTACCTTTGAATTATTAAAACACTTAAAACACTTTTAAAGTAATTGTTGTTATCCCTTGGGATCTTAAGTTTGAATAATTATGTGTTCATGCATGTCAATAATTAAGAAAGATAATGAACAAATACCGTCTTATATTCACTCTAGATAACGGAATCAAAGTTTATTCGAGATATTCACTCTAGATAACGGAATCAATGTTTATTCGAGATAGTGGAAGAGGAAAAGAGAGTCCAACGTTTTATCAAGGATCCAACAAGTACAATGTAGTGACAATATTATCAGATACATAGTACCCTATCTATTGCAACTGATCCTTATGACAAGGTAAAATCTCATTAAATCACCCAAACTAACCCAAAAGAAAATAAGAACCAACGACTCCCATCAAGTATCAAGAGTTGGACAAAGCACCATGCTTAGTCTCTGGAAGAACACGATTCGCCACCTTGATCAACCCAATCAATGAGGAACCTCTCTAAATCACGAACTGGAAGACCATAAATCACTAAATCACTTGATCTTGGCATAGAAACAAGCTCACAAAAGCATTCGCATAGCTAACAGATTACCCCCCTGACAAGATCGGTCTCATCTATTTATGGAAATGAAACCTACATATTCCAATCTCATAGGAATGAATCTACTGCACGTATGACTTCCATGGTTATAACTAAGCTAGCCAAGGATGGCAGCACTACATAAAAAACAACGTTCTATGGAATGCAATAAGAACCAACAAAAAACATACACAATCGACAGTGAACAGTGAACACCCCTAATCCTTGATCCAATCGACAGTAGTAATGAGGCGATAATTGAGCTTCCATTCAGATGCTAGGAAATACAAAATAAATGATTATATTGCCAAGAGTTCGGCTAGTAGAACCGTCCCTGAATCGGCTGGTTTTGAAAATTCCAGCAACGGTTTACCATCACTGTTCCTTTGCAGACCTCTTGTACCACACAACCCCACACTCTAGACTATTAAAATATATACATGCAATTCAATATGATGTTTGTTTCTTTATGATCATGAACTGTTTAAGGAAATAATAGTTGTGTTAAATTTATCTTTATTTATGTACATATGGAAAAAAAACCCTAAATATAATAGTGTTATCAGAAAAGAAAGAGCTTCCAGTTTGGTTGTTGCTAGAGTTACAAAGGGAAAGAATACTCATTAATTGTGTTAAAATAAAAGCATTTAAATTTTGGATTTGATTTTATCAAAGCGACTTAGGTAAGCTTTTTGCAAAAGTGTTGGCACTTATCATTCAAATTCTAGACTATACCTAATCACATATTAATCTCAAAGGCCAAAGCACAGATGAAACCAACAGATATGTTGAAACATTGCCTATGTTTTAATTCATCTCTAGTACTTGAGTCTCCATTGATGAATCATTCTGCAGATTAATTTCCTCTCCAAGTCGCAAACCATTAAATCCGAATAATTCTTGAAACCATGCACCCTCTGAGGAGAAGTCCATTTCTTGCAATTCCATTGGATTCTGGTTCGCTTTCTCCAAACATTTCCACTCACTTTCACTACTCTCATTGTCCACTTTTAGAATACCCCCACTTTCACAAGGTATCGATGAGTTCCAAGCAAAGTTGTCATTCAACATTCCAACGCTTGGCAGCGTTGTGCTCTCCATGAAGTTCAACGTCGACGTCGGTGACTGCAGGCTGTCGACGTTGAAAGTGAACAACCCCGAGACGACGCCTTGCCATGCTTTCAGTACGTCAAGGCATTGCGGTCTCGGAGCGGAGGAAGAGGGTGCAGCCAGGCGGTTTTGGGGAGGGATGACTAGTTTGGAGTCTCGGATCAATCTAGCTTCAGCTTCTAAGCGAGCACTCTCCCACTGAGCCGTGTGGCTGAGGTTGGCAGCATCTTTAGGGTTAGCAGTGGCGGAGTCGGTTTTAGGCTTGTGAGTGACGGGATCGATCCCCATCTTGGTCAGTCTTTTCTTCAGATGTGTGTTCCAGTAGTTCTTGATCTCGTTGTCTGTTCTCTTGGGCAAGTGAGTAGCTATGGCAGACCACCTGTAGATATGAAATGATTAGAATAGGCAAGTAAAGTGCTGAAATGAGACTGTAATTATACCTGTTTCCAAGAAGGGCATGGAGTTGAATGATGGTCTGCTCTTCCTGTAAACTTAACTTTCCTCTTTTGATGTCAGGTCTCAAGTAGTTAATCCACCTAAGCCTGCAACTCTTTCCACATCTCTCAAGTCCTATAAATACAAAAATACATGATCAAAAGCACATACAGAAGAGCTAAAAATGAAGCATATAAAGATAAAGACCAGCTCTGAGAGGCAAGGCACGCCAGCTTCCATGGCCATGTTGTTCGATGTAAGCCAACAGCTTTTGATCTTCTTCAGGGGTCCATGGCCCTTTCTTCAACCCCACCTTCTCGCAACATGGAGATCTCCCCATTGATTTTTATCCTTTCCAATTTGCCTTTGGACCAATATATATGCATGAGAAAAACCAAGTTCAAACTTGTTTTGAAAGCGATGAATATGAGATGATTATGGAAGTAGAAATATGAGAGCAATATATAACATTAATAGATGGCCGATTGTGTTGTAAATATAGTTACTGCTGTTAGACCATTTTAACCTTCACTATAAATAAAGGAGTGCTAAGCAATTTCATTAAACACTAGGTAGGAAAAGGTGATAAATAAAAAAAATGCAATTATCCTTTTTAATAATAATAAAACTGTTGAGAAATTGATGATAAATAAAATAAGATAGATTTCACATGAATTCTGCATTTAAAGTGATGAAATAAAATTGTGGAACTACTTATAATAAATGGTTAATTTTCCACAAATTGTGCAGTAAGGCAATAGAAGAAGTTTTTGAAGCAACTAAATTAAAACGTGGTAAGAAGAAGTGATTAATTTTTAGCTTGGTTGTTAGGTTGAGGCATCGCCTATATTTATTATCATATTTATGTGGTATAACATATTTTACACAATCGATTGAATTGAGTGTTTTTAGATATTCAAAGATACACATCCTTTTACATAATAATAACAATGAATTGAGTTAAAATAAGAGGATTCATTCAAAATATAAAGCTTTGAAAAACTTGACGTATGATATGATCATCATCTTCCTGGTTATCAAAGCAAAAGTGTCTGAATTCTAGAGATATCACCCATGGTCAGAAAAGGCTATAAAAATCTTAATTACGGGAGATGAGGGTATAAAGAGTATTTAGGTAAGATGGGTGGAGGTTATTTATTGTGGGGGAAATGAAATAAATGTAGAAACTAAGAATGAAAATCAATGTTGATTGGCTTGAAATAAAATGTCCTTCACCTGTCTTGCCCACCCTAACAAAGTTTAGCACTTTTCAAAACTCAAAACCATGCTTAAAAAGAGCAACAAGGTGAATCATTTGAGATAGACAATTACCCTTGTTCTCGTTAACGGATCCAAATATATTTTTTAAGGTTAACATAAATGTATTAATAACAAACAATTTTCGAATGAAGTTGATATAAATAAAATTTTAAAGTGATCAACTTCAATAAAATAAATAACTAATTTGTTCCCCATATTACAAGAATATTCAGTATTTAGGGTAGCAGGACAAAAAACTCGTAAGATTTTAATATTAGGAAAGAGGCTAAGGAATTCTCAATCATGTTTTACTATTCACCTACTTCCATTAATATGTTTACTATACACTCACAGCTATTCTAAATCCTATAACTTTACCACCGCTAATCGTATATTGTGTTGGGAAATAAATGAGAACAAGTAATTTTCCTATAACCAGATTAGTGAGAATGCGAAATAAAAGCGGAAAAATAATACCTGAAATTGATAACGGAGTTCAGCCAATTTGCTTACTTCTCCGGACTACTGCATATCTTTTACTAAATGGAAAAAAATTATAGGTGTTTACAAAAACAATTGAGAGAGAGCTAGAATGTTTTGGGGATTTTGGGATGATATTGAAGCTAAATGAGCTAGGGTATTTATAGTTGAAGCTTAAGGATTAACTTGTAAATATCCTAAAATTCAAGGACTTAATTTTGTAATTATAACTTGACAATTTCAACAATTTCAACAATCTCCCACTTGAAGACTGATTTTAATCTGTCTTCACACCTCGATCAATGCAACATCATTTCTAGTCTTATTATTCTAGCATGCCAACTGAAGCTGAACACAACTTCAGTTTGTCTGTAGCCACCACCTTGTAAACCTACTTGTTATTGGGCAGTTTCTCCGTGGTCGCCTTGTCTCTCAACGTCTTGGCTCCCTTTGACTCTTTTCCACTAGTCTTTGAAGGATTGTTCCTCACTTGAACATCCTCGGCAAGCCCTTGCTTCGACCCTTCTCTTATGATGGTCTCTGAAGCCATGTTCTCTACTCGAACATGCTCGACAACTTCCTTGGACATGGCCAACTTCTCTTGCACTTGGCTTCTATTCGCCTTGGCAGAAATAAACCTTATTGAGCCAAGTCTCAACGCCTCCTCGATCCTAGGTTCGTCATCTTCTTTGGACAACTCGATCCTGGGCTCATCAATCACCTTGGATGACTCAGCTCCCCTAGGGTAATCTCGCAACACTTCTGGCATCTTAAGTTTGCACCCCCTCGTTTGCTCGACTCTTACCCTCAACTTAGCATCTTTGACACTTGAACTTGTGCCAAGACTGCACACATCTTCACCAGATCCACCATCTGGTTCATCTTTGGGTGGACTTTCTCTGCCACTCGAGGAACAACCTTCCTCATCCTCTGATTGACTTTCATCGCGGAATCTCTTACCGCTACCCTCGGTTATTGGCTTTGCTTTGGAAGTCTTGTTCTTCTTGACTCCAAATTCCTTGATAGACTCGACGGTTGTCAAGGCTTCAAACAACCCCTTGATTTCCCTTTGCTCCAACAATTTCTTTGCCCATGGCTTCAATCCGAACATGAAGGTGAAGAATCCATATTCTTCAGTCAAACTTGGGACTTTGAGCATGAGTTTTCTGAATCGACTCACATACTCCTTAAGTGTCCCTTTATGCCTGAGACACCTCAACTTGGACCACACCTCCATCTTGGCATACTGTGAGCGGACTTGCTCACATTGCACCCTCGGCTTGACGGCTTTATCTCTTGCTATCACACCGGGTACTTTCCTGTGCTCGACTGCTTTGACACTCGCAGTCTCGTCACGTTTTCTTCCGGGTTCAGTTGCTTCAACATCAACAGCCTTGCCTCGTCTCGATTCTTGCTTGGCCGTATTGATCCCCTCAATCGAACCAAGTCTTTTCTTTGGCTTGGTAGCTTTAACACTTGCGACTGTGCTAATTCCCGTTACTTCTCTTTCTTCCATCCTATTCATGATGGCTGTAAGGCGACGCTTCTTGGGACATCCTCTAATCAAATGAGGACCATCACAGAAGTAGCACTTTAATATTTATTTGCTCACCTTCTTCTTCGCACCGGACTTAGCCTTGTCATTCTTTCCCGATGATTTTCCTTGGCTACGAACAGTCGATGTCTCACCTTGGCCATTCGAAGAGCTTTCTCTACCGTTTCTCTGCTGCACCTTTTCTCTGTCTCCACCATTGTTGCCACTATCTCTAGGCATGGGCCTGGACGACACATCGCTACTTGACTTGACACCTGGAAGCTCAGTCAGCTTTTCGGCTACAACTATGGCCTCCGAATGTCTGTGGGCATTACCTTGCTCTCCTCCGAGCATTGCCCCTAGTCTAAGTCCTTCCAAGAAGGTCTTGAGCGCATCCCATTCACTCATTGCTCCCTTGAATTTGAGCAACTCCCTCTTGAACTCATCAACTTTTTTCTCAAAGTCATCACTCCCACTCGAATCTGGCTTCTTTTGGATCGTTTCTGACAATTCTTGCGAACCACCGTGTATTAGAACACCTCCGTCAACAAATTCGTATCGCCGACCAAATTTCACTATTCACAAAATTCACTATTCACATGAATAGTAATAAATAGTAACCTCACAAAAAATTGACAAAAATTACAACCAAAAGCTCATGATACCATTTGTTGGGAAATAAACGAGAACAAGTAATTTCCCTATAACCAGATTAGTGAGAATACGAAATAAAAGCGGAAAAATAATACCCGAAATTGATAACGGAGTTCAGCTAATTTGCTTACGTCTCCGGACTGCTGCAGATCTTTTACTAAATGGAAAAAAATTATAGGTGTTTTCAAAAACACTTGAGAGAGAGAGCTAGAATGTTTTGGGGATTTTGGGATGATATTGAAGCTAAATGAGCTAGGGTATTTATAGTTGAAGCTTAAGGACTAACTTGTAAATACCCTAAAATTCAAGGACTCAATTTTGTAATTATCACTTGACAATTTCAACAATTTGGTGCTGCCCAAATTATTGAATTCTTCAGCCACCCATGTGGGGAAAAAATCAGTCGCCCCACTTGTTAATATTCAACATATTGCTCTTGAAAAACTATTTTAGATGGATACATCAACATCCAAAGGTTAGAGTTTGTCAAAATATATCTTCATATTAATCTTACTCAGTAGTAGATGTATGTATTACTCAGGGTGAACATGATAAATTCTTTTGTTACTAATACACACACACACACACCACACACACACACACACACACACACACACACACACACACACACACACACACACACACACATACATATATATGTCTATCCAAGAAAATGTTTATGGATCTACCATTTATCTCACTTTACCCACTCTATTTTTGTTCAACTTGGTAAGAAAAACAATCTAAAGGAGGAATCCTAAGAAACAATATACTAAACAACTTATTCAATAATGGATTTCAAAGCAAGTGGTAAAAGCTGTTCAACTAGACCTGAAAATTATTTTGATTTTAGAGAGTTAGATACGATAACAAAATAACTAAAGAATAGAATGCTAATAGATTATCTATTCAGCAATACAAAATGATGATATTGAAGTTAATTTAGTAAATGAAAATGTTGATAATGTAGAGCTAGATTGATAATATAAGGACTAAATATAAAAGGTAATATGATATTGAAGAGCCTAGATAAATGATTTACCCTTATTTTTAGGTCCTCATATTGTTCGATCAAGTGTTGTCTGGTTTCTTTCTTAAAAAAAAGTGTTGATTGGTTTCAAAGAAACTATGGTCGTTTTTTGCAAATTGGGAGTTGTGTATACTTTAGATGTGGTTTTTGCTCAACTAATATAGGGTTTAGTCGGTTGTTTTTCAAACTTGAGTATTGTTGTATTGTCTTTGATATATATATATTGGATAATTTGCCCTCAAATACTCTAAGCAATCCCTCAAGCCCTACAAATAGTCTGGTTAACCCTCTACAAATCATTTGTACAACGACCAACGAATTTAACTCTAATCAATTCCTCAATGAAATAAAAAATCGATTGCCCACTCTGACTTATGCCCTTGAACAACCTTGTTTTACTTTCCAACCAAGTAAAGTAAATCGTAGCAGTACAACCCACTTTCAAAATATAAACTAGTA